TTGAGAAATACTGTCTTACACCAACTACTCAGAACAGTGTTTTTTATGGCTGGGGAGTTCAAGAGCACACATATTAATACTGCCACACTGGAAAAACATTTTGCATCCCAACCACAAAATGCTTGAAAGTTGAATTGTTCAGTGATATGCTGTCAACTTAGGGGTATCTATAGGGAATGGACAAAAAAGTGAGGATGATCTCTCTCTCTCTCTCTCTCTCTCTCTCTCTCTCTCTCTCTCTCTCTCTCTCTCTCTCTCTCTCTCTCTCTCTCTCTCTCTCTCTCTCACACACACACACACACACACACACACACTGCTTTGATGCTTAGGCTAACTGCAAAACCAAGCATGTTCCTTGTTCAGTATGAAAAAGCTCATTTAACTTTTTAATAATAATAAAAAAATACATCCTGAACGAGTTATGATGGATCTCTGTATTGTTAAAAAGATTGCAAATTTAGTGAGCTGTTCTAAATTGCAGTTTCTAGAGACTACAAAGCAGATTTTCCAATAACAACAGTACAGGGAGTCATCGATTTACAACAGTTCGCTTAGTGATCATTCGAAGTTACAACAGCACTGAAAAAAGTGACTTATGACCATTTTTCACACTTATGACCATTGTAGCATCCTCATGGTCACGTGATTTACATTCAGATGCTTGACAATGGACTCAAATTTATGACAGTTGCAGTGTCCTGGAGTCATGCGATTGCCTTTTGCGACCTTCTGACAGGCAAAGTCAATGGGGAAGCCAGATTCACTTAACAACGGTGTTACTCATTTAACAACTGCAGTGATTCACTTAACCCAGGTGGTAAGAAAAGTCATAAAATGGGGCAAAACTCACTTAACACATTTCTCACTTAACAACATAAATTTTGGGCACAATGAACCACTGGAGCAGCTTGCCTCCAGAAGTTGTGGGTACTCCATCGCTGGAGGCTTTTAACAAGAGACTGGACAGCCAGGGGTAGACAATCTTGGCTCTTTTTTTTAATAATACAATTAAAAAAAACATTGGATATAACGTGACATTCCAGTATATACATTCTTATCAAATTGCTCCACATTTTACAATCGATTCTTCATCTCTAATTATACATCTAAGTTTTATATACAGTACTGATTCTAAAATAACATATATTTCTATCTTAACACTAGTCTTTAATCCCAACCGTCCTCCTCGAATCCCTCCAGCGATAAAATTTATCCCAGGTTTCGAAATAAACTGATCCACATTTGTCTTTCAATACCATTGTAAGCCTGTCCATTTCCGCACATGCTAATATTTTATATAGTGACTCTTCCTCTGTGGGAATTTCTTTGCTCTTCCATTTTTGCGCAAACGCAAGCCTAGCTGCAGTCAAGATGTGTAACAGGAAATAGATTGTTCCCTTATTGTATTTCTCTGTAGTTATTCCCAACAAGAAGAGTTCAGGTTTTAACTCCAAGTCCAATATTAATATATCTTTCAGCCAACTTCGTATCCTATTCCAATACTCACGAGCCTTTGAGCATTCCCACCACATATGGTAATATGATCCTATTGCTGTTTTACACTTCCAGCATAAAGGTGAAATATTTGAACCCATTTTGGCTAACCTTACGAGTGGGAAGTGAACCTTGGCTCTTTTATGACTTGTGGACTTCAACTCCCAGAATTCCTGAGCCAGCATGGCTCAGCTTGGAAACCTCTCCCTTTCCCCTCAGCAT